GTGAATGCTGTGACCAAAGATTGAAGTTTTCCATAGGATGCTGTCCTCACACAGTAGTGCTCTTTTCGTGAAGAGATAGGTGATGTAGCCACATATACGAGGGTACTTCCAAAAGGCCATGGACAGATTTGTATCATCTTTTGAATCTGTTTTTCCATGAACTTTTTGAAGTACCATCATAGTTCACTCATTTCCATGATAGTTAAACAAAACTGAAGAACACCAAATATAAGGGCAGAAAAAGCAGTGTAAGAGATTCACTTTCCAGGCTTTGAGATTTGGTATAAGGGAACCGTCAGCAGTTGCTGCAGCTCTGGCCTGGCACGCTTGCCTTCTGAGCCTGCAGGCCATGCACTCACTCCCCACATGCCTGAGGGCGGTCATCGGCTGCCTCAGCACCATGGAGGTGAAGAGCAAGAAGCAGCAGACCACAGTGCTTTAGATACAGACACGCTAGGAAAGAAGAAGGTTTTAACCAATCTAGTGCATCCTGACAACCACAGAAAAAAGCTACATATAGTCATTAGTACGCCCCAAGACTTCAGACCTGTTTTCTATTATACACGTGGATATTCTCCCAGAAACTCATCATAGGGTTTGTCTTTACAAATATGGCACTGAGAAGCCCCTAGAATTCTACATTCAGGGTGGCTCCAGTGTCAGGGTAGCACCACACGGCTTAGAGAAGGTCTAGGGATCTTTATATCCCTAGATTGGTTGGTTTATGTAGAAACAGGTAATCTCAATCAATACAAGTGGTATTTTAAAATGATTGTCTTTTAGGAGCTCAGTTTGTCAGTGTATGAAATAAGAACCATAAAATTAGTTGTACTTTTGTACCAGGTACTTATATTTTAGAAAATATATTGTAAACAACGTTAATTCAAGAGGGAATGTAAATGTAGAAACCTTCATAGCTGCCTTATTCATGGTTCCAACAATGTGGAAGTAATTCATAGAGTTATTGTGAAGATAAAATTAGATGATCCATGCAAAGAACACTGCAGAGTGCCTCACCCAAAGCTAATGTAAAATGAGAGTTTTCTATAGTTACTATGCCAATGATGTGGGATTTTGTATATTTTAGTTTAAGTAACATTTTATTAAGCATTATTCTAAAACAGAATAAAATTTGATTTAAGATAGAATCTATTAAATAACCAAAGTTTATTCTCTAAAATAAACTACTAGAGAGGGAAATAAATACTTTCCTCTAATGTTGTGATATGTCCATAACAGTTTTTAATGTTTTTGAAAATGAATTATCATACCTGCTCCATGCTAACCTCACCATTGACATTTACTAAGTGTCCTTTTGTGTGTTGGGCTAAGACCAAAAATCTTATGTCACAGCAGTGAAATTGCCTTGATTATGAATTTCGCCTTTCAAATAGTGTGTTTAATTTGTTTGACAAGGTTAGAAAAAGCAAACCAGGTGTTGAAAAATGCATTGATAAGATCATAAAGACTAAGAAAACCATCTATAGGCAAGAGGAAGATAAAAGCAAGGAAGTAATTTTGGGGGGAATAACCCTCTTTACTCAGAAAAAATTTGCTTAGTGGTTTGAAAGACTGAGCATAGAAAAAGACATATTTATGTTTATATTAAGCATTTCTAGATCATGTTTTATTTTCTCCCCTTTCAGATTTGAAACTAACTTTTCATCTTCTTATTCTGAAAAGCCTGAGAAACTTGGAATCCAGGATAGGATGTTAGTTACAGGGAATGAGTATCTGTGACCATTTCTAAATCACATTTTTCAGGTTGAATTTAGGTTCTTAAGTATGTGCTAGGTTTCTTAGAGATGGTTTGGCCTGGCATTTGAATTATACAGTTTCTTAGCCTGTTCTTAGAGTTGGCATCATTATTTATTGCCTTACTTTTTTGGTGTCCTTTTATTTCACCAATATAATTCTTTGACAAGGAAATACTAAGAGAGCAGCTTGTCTGCAATATGGGAAACAACATAAAATATTTTCATTTTGTGGATTTAAAAGGCACCAAGGCATAATATATTTAACAAATGCATGTTGTGCCACTTTTATTCCATTATATCAATATTTATTGTAAGGGTAAGTAAGAATGTATTATAATGAGTTAAAGGATCCATGGAGTTGAGAAGGCCTACTCTCACCATGCCTGGGTCCATTATTCTATATTTTATAGGTTAAACTAAGGTTTCCTACATTTGTTAAAATTTATATTTTAATGTAATAATGATAATGTTGTGATTAAAAAAAAATCTAACTGCTTTTATTCTTTGGACTTTGAAGGCAATTCAGCATCCAGCAGATGAGAAGTTGCAAGAAAAGGCATGGGGTGCAGTTGTCCCACTAGTAGGCAAATTAAAGAAATTTTACGAATTTTCTCAGAGGTTAGGTAAGTTAAAAATTTTGAAATTATGAACTTCCCTTGTGAAAAAGACATTTATTAATACCAGAAGTTATTTAGAGCATCCTAACATTCACGGTGCTGAATTTGGCTGAATGTCAGTTATATAGGTAAAGCAAGCTTGTTTAGACTATAAGATTACAATGTAATCTTCTTATCTTGCCCATCAACACAGGTCTTTGATTTATTTAGATTGTTGTCTTTGACAAATAAATTCCACAAGGAGATCTCTTTAATTTCTTTGTATGCTAAAGGATCCTAGTATGAGAAACTTGGTAGAAGTTTCTCTTCAGCTTTACAGTGAGTCTTTTCTGATATGTGGGGAACTAATCTTCAAGCCCTTGGGTTATTTAAATTTTTGCATTCTTAAACTCATTGCTGATTATGCTCAGTTCATGTATCTAAAACAATGAGTAAGCAAAATTGGATTCCCTTTGTTGGAGAAGGAGGAGACAGAGCAGGTAATGAACAAACAGATGGGCAGATTGGCCCACAGACCAGTTTGCTAACCTGCTGGGCTAGAATTAAGACATTTTCCCACTCATTCCTCAATACACCTATCGTGAACTACATTAACTGCACAGGCCCCTGCAGTATCACCACATCCACTGCAGCTACGTCATTACTTTTGACCTATGTTCATGCTGTCACTCCATTCAAGTGTTCACTGGCACCTGTTCACCCTTGGGTACTGTGCAAGATCCTTCCTTGGGTTGCTGAAGGAAAACCAGACATGGCTCTTTCTCAGTTTCTCATACTGTCTCCTCAGTGTCCACACACCATATATCTCATAGAATTAGAAGAGATACCCACAAGTGCAGTTAAATATCAGGTGTTTTATGAGATGCTTGTGTTAGGGCTGCTGCTGTAACAAGTTACCACAAACTGGGTGGCTTACAATAACAGAAACTTATTCTCTCACAATCCTGGAGACCAGAAGTCTGAAGTCAAGGGATCGGCAGGGTTGGTTCCTTCTTGAGGCTTTGAGGAAGAATCTGTTCCATGACTCTCTTCCAGCTTCTGGTGGCTGCCAGCAATTCTTGAGTTCCTTGGCTTGTAGACACATTGCTATGTAATTAGAATTATTATGGTCCTAAGACACTTGGGAAGCTTACTAAACCAAATATTTTGTTCTCTTCTGTAGCTAAGAGAAAGCAGTTTGTGTTTATAAGTAAACGGCATATTCAAAATATGAGACGTTGGTAGTTCATTCATAGCCATGTACAGATTTGACTCTGTGGACACAATGTCACTGAAGAAGTTACTCAGCTGTAGGTAACAATTACCATTTCGTAAAACCAGATTCCACACCACTGAATGATGAAAGTGATATAAAATTTGCCCTTTGTTCCTGGTGTTTAATTCAAATTCACATTCTGCATTATTGTAAATCTGGGTTTACAGAATTATAAAATTGAATTAATCTTTTAAAGATTTTTATTCAATTAAACAATATTCAGTTTGGTTTTATGCAGTTTGTTAGCAATGACAAAATTTAAACTTCCTTAATTCTTTTGATTATATTTAATCATCTTTTTTAAAGGGACGTTACTTTTCTGGGAATTGAAATAACATTTATGAAACGTTCACTTTTTAAGAAGCACATATCACAGGGATACAAATAATTTAATATTTTTATCTTTCTTTTTCTTTTAGAAGCAGCATTAAGAGGTCTTCTGGGAGCCTTGACAAGTACCCCATATTCTCCCACCCAGCATCTAGAGCGAGAGCAGGCTCTTGCTAAACAGTTTGCAGAAATTCTTCATTTCACACTCCGGTTTGATGAACTCAAGGTAGAATTTTCTGTTGGCCCTGACTGTTATGAAAATCATGAGTCTTTCAGTGAGCACTAGGAGGAAAAGCCTGGAAATCTTGTTAAAATGTACTTAAATGCTATTTTCTGGACCTTAATAAAGATGGAAAACTGGATTTTAAAATTATGGTCAGCCTTTTGATATGTTAAGTTAAATGACAAATCACCCAGTATTCAGTCTTCATCTAACTTTATTCTAAAAAGTCATCTCTGAAGCAGTATTGAGCTTCTTTTCTAATATTTGTTTTTCTTTTCTGCTCATCTCCAGTTTTTTTCAGCATTCTTTTATATAAAAATGTTGTTGAAATTTTTCCTCCCTCCCTCTCTCCCTCCTTTTCCCTCCCTCCCTTTCCCTTTGTCCCTCCCTTTCCCTCACTCCTTTTCCCTCCCTCCTTCCCTCCCTTTCCCTCACTCCTTTTCCCTTCTCTTCACCTCCTCTCCCCTCTTCTTCCTCCTTCCTTCCTTTTCTTTTTCTCTGGCTCCTTGTAGTATTTATAACTATAAATACCCTGTTGTTAGGTGGAGCAAGTGTAATGGAATAAGGTAGATTTCACATCTGGAAACCTAGAGTTCCAGTCTAGGCTCTGTCACAGTAACCAATTATGAGGCCTCAAGCATGTCCTTTGACTTTACCTTGTCTAGAAAATGAGAGAGCAAGATTCCTAACTTCAACATTTTATGACTCTATCACAGACAACTGTTAATTCTCGTTAAATTCTGTAAAATTTTTGTTTGGGGATTGCCCTGTGGATTATTTTTTTATATGCACATACACACACTTTTATTGTAATAATTCAGAGCAAGTGCCTATATGTTCTCTTTTGGTTTTACTTATTTGGTAATACTGTTTTTTTGGTAAACAAGCTTTTAGTATATTACTTGAATTTATTGAAGAGAAGAAGGAAAATATACTGCCTGTGACTGAAAAATAGTCTGTGTAGTTTTATATGTTCAATAAGGACTGAATACAGTGTTATAAGCTATACTGGGTGATACCAGTTTTAGTTCTTAAAGTGATATTACAAATTAGGGAATGTTTACATAACTAGTTAATACTGGTTTTAGTAGTTTTTTTTTTTTACTTAATTTTTATATTAGCATTATAGTACATAACACATTTTCTTTTGTATTTGTCTACTTTAGATGACAAATCCTGCCATACAGAATGATTTCAGCTATTACAGAAGAACGTTGAGTAGAATGAGGATTAATAATGTACCAGTAAGTCAGTCCTTTGAACTGAGGGGTGGTAAGAATAACTCGGCTCTCAGTCTGTTCATTTTATTCTTTTATTCATTCAGATGATTTCTAAGCAAGTAATAAAGTTAGTAATTATGGGCAGCCACAGCTGTGGGACAACTGTAGGGTGCTTACTCTTTCTCCTCTCAGTCTCTTAAATTCCTACAACTACTTCAGTGAAATTGCTTGTCTGTGTAACATCGGTACTTACAAAATTTCTTTATGTATTCTCATTTTAACTGTACAAAAATTTTATGAATTAAACATGGAACAGAAGAGCCCTGGACAGAAATTGGCCTGGGATAAGAGAAGTAATTAGTGTTGGCAAGAGGTGAGAGTGAGGTCCTGGACTGTTCTCCTATCTGTGCCTGATGCAGCTGTTTGAGAAGATGGCTTGTGTGCCTGTTCCTTGGCTAGCATAGCATCTCTTCTGGTTTCTTTAGACCTGTGAATCTCTTGCCATCCTCCTCTTATGCTGTTTGTTACACTTTTCTAACTCAAAGGAGTTTTACTCTAAGTAAAACCTTAGATATGTTTTACTATAAATAAAACATTAGATATGAAGAAAATATTGTCTTGTTCTTTACATATTCTGAGAGCCTACATTGTACTAATTTGTGTGAAAAACAGAAATTTCAAAGATCAACCCTAGCCTTAAGTTAGATAGTTTGATAGAGAAATACTATAATTACATGTATAGAGACTGGTAAGTGGCATAAGAAATTTTTTTAAAACTATCAAAATCTTTTTTCCCCATTA